TTCAGCTGCTCACTTCTATCACTGGGCTCGTCCGGTGCATGGAGTTGGATGCCAGTATACAGGAACACAGTACTGAAGAACTGAGAAAGGCCATGTGTACGTGCTAGTTCTATTCAGATGGCGTACGTGTTCATCATTGACTGGACTGCTTTCTTTCCGCTTCCATATTATTAAAAATATTCAGAACTCGACAGACGGCGCGACGCTTCTCGACAAACTGGGCATTCATTCCCGACAAGACCATAGCCTTCCCCGACAAGGCCATACCCCTACCCCATTTTCAAAAACTCCTCGGCTAATGACCGATCTCACAATTCTGAGCCTCGTACGCCTATGTGTGTAGATGTAGTACTATATAAGAAACATATGAAAACGCACCAGTCGTCACTAGATTCCCAGACAATTGGCATCGAATATGGTTTTCGAAAATTGCCTCGTATTTTTGAGCCGATAGAACCGGGTAGATGAGCACCTCAAATTCTGAAACTTTGTGTGGTTATAGTTTGTACTAATGTCTCCAACATATATTAAAGCTATTCTTTTCCCATGCCGTCTAGATATTTTTTCGATTTTTTCAAAATCTGTATTTTGGGTCAATCTATTTTCGAGCCAATTGAATCCGGTAGATGAGCACCTAAAAATTTGAAACTTGGTGGAATTATAGTTTTTACTGATGTCTCTAACATATGTTAAAACCATTCTTGTCCAATGCCATCTCAATATTTTTTCGATTTTTTCAAAAAGTGTGTTATGGGTCATTCCATGTGAATTTTCACACAGTGAGTTAAACCGTACCCCGTTGATTTTGCTGAAATTTGGTTTATATGTTTATATGGCTGAAAAATTGTGACCTCTAGAGAGTCCACAAGCCAAAAAATGTGATTTTTCAAACAAACGGTGGCCATAATCTAGGAAGTTATGATCCAAATATGCGCTAATACCGAATGGAACCAAGTTCTTTCGAGGATAAACACAACCTTGACATTACATACTATTACAATATTTGCATACTAGGAGCGGCCCATTGTGTCGGGCAGTTTTGGTCCAATTTTCACGAAATTTGAACTCAACAGTCATCGGGGTGTAATGGTGATATGTTTGCACGGTTTTTAAAATCAGATAAAAATTATGACCTCTAGAGGGACCACAAGCTAAAAACGCGATTTGTCATACAATCATGGGCCATAATCCAGGAAGTTACGGTCCGAAATGTGCCAATATTGAGAGGAACCAAGAGCTTTGGGTAAACATCATTTTAAGTTTCATCAAAATTAGATAAAAATTGTGACCTCTAGAGTGTCTTCAATACAAATTGTGACTTCTAGTGGGTCAACAAGCTAAAAATGCGATTTTTTTAACAATCATGGACCATAATCCAGGAGGTTACGGTCCGAAATGTGCCAATATTGAGAGCAACCAAGAGCTTTGGGTTATAACCATACATTTTAAGTTTCATCAAAATCAGATAAAGATAGTTTGCCAGGCAACGAAACATACGCCCACAGCAGCTAAATCGTCCGGGCAGTCAACAAGTGTTGTTGCATATTTTTACTTCTTTCGGTAATGAAACATTTATAATACACTCATGAAGTAATTATCAGAAAACCATTAGAATTTGTTTGGTTTTTATAAAGTTCTGCCCCATGCTAACGTTTAGTATACAAAACTTTTAATATCATGGATTTAGCTGTTCAAGTCATAAAAATTCATTGAAAATCAATATACTTGTTCGTCTCAAGCTCTTAAACTCTGTGTATCAATCTGAAGTCAATCGGATGATAACTTTAGCCTCTAGTGTGTCACAAGATTTTTCAAAGTGATCAAGGGCCATAACTCTGGCAGTAATTATCGGAAATCGCGATAATCAATAGGCTTCTTCGTTTCATGGCCTTAAACACTGTATATAAATTTAAAGTCAATCGGATATTAACTTTAGCCTCTAGAGCGTCCACAAGCAATTGTGGACGCCGGACGGACGGACGGACGGGGGCGACAACAATATACGACCACATTTCAATGTGGGCGTATAAAAATTGTGACCTCTAGAGTGTCTGCAAGCTAAAAACATGATTTTTTTGTATAATCAGGGGCCATAAACCATGAAGTCATGGTCCGATACATGCCAATATCGAAAGGAACCAAGATCTTTGGGATATAAAGCTACATTTCAAGTTTTGCCAAAATTGGATAAAAATTGTTACCTGTAGAGTGTCCACAAACAAAATGTCCAGTCAAACAGGGGCGCTGACACTCAACACAAACTAGATCATTTCGGGACTAACACATGGTTCAATTTTATTTAAATAATTCGCTTGCGCGTAGGGGTCTTTAGCAGTGGGAGGAAACCGGAGGACCCAGAGAAAACACATGAGGTTGGACAAGCGACACTAGGTAATGAATGTCAACCCTAAAAATAGAGGAGTCTATGCAGTACACTTTAGGTAGTGGATGAAACCAATTAGTACTTTTAATAAATCTATTTACTTTTATTCTGAAATTACCAAACTTTTGTTTTAATAAAACTTTTCTTAATTCTTTCAATAATATTAATACATTAGACATTAGACCTATATTATTGTTATAATTAATGCTCTTAGTCTGGGTAGCCAAGTGGTCAAACATGCATGCTTGTGCTGTAGATCATAAGGCTTGCTATCAATATACTACAAGTAATACGTTTGATCCCATGCTTGTACATGCCAAGGAATATGGGTGCCCGCCTAAACCATTGAGGTTTCTAAGGTACTCCAGTTTCCTCCCACTTCCAAAGAACCCAGTAACCTGGCAAATTATTGATATTTTAATAATGTAACATGTAAGTCCAAAAATTCACATTAATCCCCATTTCTCTCTATATATTTTGATTTGTTATTAATGATTCTTGTAGAAACCATGAGATCATTAACAAAATTTCTTTTAACTGTTCAGTCAAAAGTTGTAAGTTATTAATGCAATACAACTATATTAATTTTCTCTTTAGCCTTCATTTAAGCAAATATTCCCATGGTCCCATACGTTTATGCAGATTGTAAAACTAATCAATACTACAGTTTTCCAGTGCAATATTCCTTTAGTTTCTTTGGTCTTTAACCAGAAAACATTGTTAGAACCATAATTTAGGGTTACCAGACTAACCAATTTTGAAAATAAAAATTATTGAACATGAATATCTATCTATTATCCCAGTGCATGAGTAATTCTCATAAAAATCCATCATTAAACCAATCAAGCAAATCAATGAAATGGGCAGACTATTTGAAATTTTGTCCAAATATGCATGATGAAATCCTATTGTGATACCCCATAAAAATACATTGGCTAGCATTTTTAGCTCTTCAAAACAAAAGCTTTCAAAACTCCTTAAAATGAGCATAAATTACTATTCTGGGTGAAATTTTAGTGCTATAGGAATCCCTTGCAAAGTACAATATTGTGAAAGTTGGATCTCTAACTGAAATATTAGTACAAAAATGTATCAATTCCATTCAGAATTTACAAAGATATGACATATTGAAAATTCCATCGATCTATGCTGCTCCCTATATAACAAGTCCACTGCCCTCTTTATTTGTAATGAACCAAATAGATGGGCTGGTTTCCAATCCAATCGAATCCAAGCTGGAAGATTATCTATTATATTTTCAGAAAAATGTAAATCATGCATTGTTACTGTAAGCCAAATATCATGCTAACAAAGGGTAGGGATAGTTGTGCGATTAGGTCACAAGACAAGGTATTTCAGGTTTGAATCTCAAGAAAAACAGTTGGGATTATTCAACCCTGTTGCTTACTAATCTGTTACAGCTTGTCTAGTGACTAGTCGGTTAAAAAACTAAATTCCTATAGTGACCCAATAATCCAAATAATAAAATACCTGATTTGAACATAATAAACAAAAAACTAAAATATAATAAACAAATAACTGAATATATATAGGTCTACTAGTACATGATTTAGGAGATCTACTGTTCAATATTCACAAAAGAGAATAAGCAAGGAAATCGTTGAAATATTCACATTGTTTTTTCATCTGCAAAATTCCAATTACATATGGCAAGATTAGTGAATAAGTTAATATGAATATAGGAAGCGTAAATATATAAAATAAAACAGCACCATGTGAAATTAAATTTCCAGTAAATCCATACTTGATGATAATTAAAGCATTCTTATCGTATGTTATTATTGACTGATCTGTAAATGGTTGATAATGATAAAAATAGTGAAAATGATCGAATAGAGGAGATGTTATTGGACAGGAAATAATGCAAACAATTATAGATCGGCAAGAACAATTAAATTATTATAAAAGACAATAACGATTGGTCTAAAATAATTGACTCATTAAATACAGAAACCAATCAAGGTAATCAGCGACCAACATCCTGTTGTTGGTAATAAAGAACAATTAGGCCTCCACCCTCCAACAACTGGGTGTCACAAAATGCTAATATAGAATGATTATATTTTACAGACTCGCCATGGAAACGCTAGAAAACAGGATTTTATCACATTAATTATTTAACTTTATCTAGCACAATAACAAGTATTACAATCTCTGTATTCTTTGCATCTGCTGCATTTATTATGTTCTCTTTCATACTATGGGGCCTGCTTATTATAAATCCTGTCTATTCTTATATAATTTTAAATTAAATGTGCTTAATCATCATCCATTGGTGTTTAAGTTTTATCAATACAGGTACATGAAAGGGAGAAAAATTTTGATTTATTTGTTCATATTGTTAAAATCAAATTTTGTACAATTTGTTACATCCAAACGATTGGACACACTGTCCTTGATATCCTTGCAGACACTACCCCTGACAAGTGAAGGCAAGGATTTTAAAGATTCTTACAAAAATTCAAAGTCTGCCAATCAATGCACAATTGTCCAAAAAACAAAAATGGGAAGTTTAATGTTGATCGTACACAAATTGGGGGAGCCTTTGAATTTTTTTTAAGAGCATCACACTAAGAAAAAAAAAAAGATTACCAACCAGGTGTTTGGAGTCATTTCCTAGTTCCAATTTATATCACAGTCTCCTCCATCATTTACAGACGCATACCTCTGTAAAGTCATATACCCAACATTGTAAAGCATAACCCTGAACTCCAAAATAACAAATACCAACACACTCAAGTCTTCAACACAAAACATCTTGAACGTAATTAAAAGAGAACAGATTCAGACACTGCACTATCAAGCAAGTCCCATATTCATATTGCATATGCATGAAAATGTCATTTATTAAAATCATAGATGAATTTCAATAACAATAAAATAATTGTTTGACTAAATAACCTGCCAAAAGATCACCACACTAACGATAGTCTGTGTTGCAAAACGTTTCTGGAAACCGAACATTTAGTTCAAATACATGGAGATTTTGGAGCTCATAAGAGAAGTTATCAAATTGATCAGTCCTCAAATTTTTTATATGCCCACATTATAGTTGTGGGGCTGGGCGTATTATGTCGCCATCCAGGTCAACAACTGGCTTGTGAACGTGATACAAGCTACAGTAACTAAACAGATTTTTTTTTCAAATTTGGTGTGAAACATTGGGGTTATGAGATAGCCAACTCTTCTGTTCCAGAGTTACCCCTTGCCCATCAGAAAACTTAATTCAAATTTAGTGTCAAGCATCGGCTTCGTGACCTGGGAAAGCCTATCGAAATTCAGTGTTCCCTGACCTTCCATTTGGGAGTTATCTCCCTTATCCCAAAACCTTGTTAACATGATAGAGGCTACAGTTTTTAACAGATTTTTTTTCACATTTTTTGTGATGCATTGGGGTAATGGAATTATCAACCCTGCCAAACCGTCAACAACTCAGTTGGAAATGTAAAAGAGGCTACAGTTTTCAACAGATAATTTCCAAATGTGGTGTGATGCATTGGAGTCATGAAAGGATGAACCCTATCAATATTCAACATTCCAGAACCTTCTGTTCCAGTTACCCCCTTTTCCATAAACCTTTTGCATGTGATAGATGTTACAGTTTTTAACAAGAGTATTCTCAAGCTTGTGAACACAGCAGATATCAGATTTTGTGAGTTATTTGTGATTTTGTCCGTATAAATACGATGAATAATATGGATCCAATGATTGAACACACCTGAAATCATTGGGAGGTCATCTGATTGAACACCATCTGACCTTTTTGACTATAGTTGTTAAGACAGAAGTTAAACGAGTTTTACATAGTGCCATGTAATTCTAGTTCAACACACCGTGTATCAGGAGGTAGTAGATATCTAATGTGTCAAAAATTACTGAAAGTTCAAGCAGCACCAAAGTGACACATGCTGTTTCATTACTGTGAAATTCCTTGTATCCAAACTGAAACAAGTATGGACTGAAATTGCATTTCTTTAATAATACACTTACCTATAAATCTTGCTTCTTGGATATATTAGTCTTTCATTCAACTTATAATCACATTAAAATTTTAATATCCTGTAAAAAATAAGCACAGGTTAACAGGAAATGAAACACATTTCCATGAATATCTTTGTTATCAAACTACTGGTGCATTCAGTCTATTTTAGCTTTACATACTTATTTACAAGATCTCATACATGAACCTATAAAAAACATAGATGGCCGAAATATAGACCCACAGCAGCCAAGCCACCCAAGCACTCCACAAAAGTGGTCGCCTATTTATTCTTTTGTAGGTAATGGGACCATTTACAAGACTCTAACCAGAAAGTTATGGTCTGAAATGTGCAAATATCTACAGGGACTGAGATCTTTGTGATATAAACATAAATTTAAAGTTACATCAAAAATCGGATAAAAATTGTGGCCTCTAGAGGGTCCACAGCCTTGATATACCACATTTTTACACTATTTGCGTGATACGTTTGAACGGTTTTTAAAATCGGATAATAATTGTGACCTCTAGAGGGACCACAAGCTAAAAACACATATTTTTTTTGTATAATCAGGGGCCATAATTCAGGAAGTTACAATCTGATACGTGCAGATACCGAAAGGTACCAAGATCTTTGTGTTATAAACATGCATTTCAAGTTTCATCAAAATCAGATGAAAATTGTGACCTCTAGAGTGTCCACAAGCTAAAAACATCGTTTTTCGTACATTCAGGGGCCATAATCCATGAAGTTATGGTCCGATACTTGCCAATATCGAAATGAACAGAGATCTTTGGGAGATAGACCTATATTTCAAGTTTCGTCAAAATCGAATAAAAATTGTGACCTGTAGGTAGAGTGTCCAAAAAAAAATTGTGGAGGAAGGACAGGGGCGACGGCATAATACGTCCACATGAAAATGTGGGCGTATAAAAATTGTTGAAATTAAAAGGCTTCTGTGTGGGTGTATAAAAATCAATAACAAAATGGGGCCCCACTGGGTTAGAGTAAAATGAAGGTGAAGTTAAGACGACAAAAATTGTGAGGGTATCCCTAAAATGCATTCCGTCTCCTTGACTGACATTTGTAGCGCTTCTTATGTGTTGATCTAATGATTGTGAGAACATTGAGAAAATTAAACGTCCAGTAGACTTTTGATATTGAAGCATTTCGGACTGTAACATCCTGGATTATGGCCCCTTATTGAATGCTTTTTTTTGGCTAGTTCTCTGTTCATATCTTGAAAATGTGGGTGTATCTTGCATGGCAATAGCTTGTTTCTTTTGTCGGTAATGAAACACTTACAATACACTAAAATCTGATTAAGAGTAATAACATACACTCAAAGCCATTAAAAATGCAATGCCAAATTCAAAGTTTATTTACTGCAACAACTCTTAATAAATCGAGATAACAAGCATTTCATGAAAGAATTCGCTACAAATGCACAAAACAGAAACGTCAAAGAACCATGAAACAAAGCACGGGTCTGCTGAAGTGAATATCGGGTATGTCCACCCTGAGCTCTTACACATGCCTAAGTCGCTTTCACGCTGTGAGATTGTTTGCAAATGATTTTGGAGTGCCTGTGCCAACTCTGCAACAGTTCGTGGTGGTACGGCTTTAGTTCGAACCCGTCGTTCAAGTTCATCCCAAAGGTGTTCGATCGGGTTCATGTCAGGAGACATAGCGGGCCAATCCATAACACGGACATGATGATTGTTCAGAAAGTCTCTTGTCAACCTGGCAGCATGGGGTCGGGCGTTGTCATGCTTGGAAACCCATCTGTCGACGGACGCCATGTTGAGCCAACAATGGAAGCAACATCGGACGAAGGATGGCGTCAACATAATGTTGAGCGTTGAGATTGCCTTGGACCACCACCAACTGGGACCGGAAGTTGACGTTGATAGCGGCCCAAACCATGACACCACCTCCCCCGAAACGATCCCTTTCCAGCACGCAGTTACGAGCAAAGCGTTCATGTTGACGTCGGTAGATATGGTGATTTCCATCAGGAAAACTGAGGTTCAGTCGGGATTCATCCGAGAAGATGACATTTCGCCATGGTGTGTTGTGCAGATACATGTATACCTGATTTGCGGCCCATTGCTGTCTGGCAAGTCAATGACGATGCAAAAGGATTTGACCTTGGTAAGGTCGACGGCAGTGTAACCCAAGAGCAGCCAGGTGTCTTCGGACTGTTTAAGGGCTGATCTGACGTTGCCATGTTCCAAGAGTTCCCTGGGCAGCAGCAGTAGCTGACTGGAACCTGTAGTCGGATGTGGCGATCTTGAGCAGCAGTTGTTACATTTGGCGCTCCAGGTCGGGGTCGATCGGCAACTCTTCCAGTGGCGGGGAAGCGTTGTCTGAGGTGAGCAATGGTCGATGGGTAGACATTAAAGTGTCTGGCGACAGCTACCTATAAAGTCCCCTGATCCAGCATGCCAATAGCTCTTTTCCTGTTTTCTTGTGTGAGGCGTGGCATGATGAATGTTGAAATTTTGATCTGTATTTAAATTGCCAGAGTGCAGGGAATGCACGTGCAAAACATGTTACATGGGACTGCTTAAAATCGTGAAAAAAGACAAGTGTTGCGTTTGCACGAACAAAGTTCGTGACCAAGAACTGATATTGGGTTCAAACCAAGAACTCCACAAAAAGAGACCTATCACAAGTTTCACCTAAGTGCCATAAGAGCAAAGCCCAAGAAAACGATTACCAGAAATATTTCACGAATTAGGCATTGTGTTTATTTTTAAGTTTCATTGAAATTTGGTAAAAATTGTGACGTAACTGTCATTAGGATGTAACGGTGATATATTTGAATGGTTTTTAAGATTGGATAAAAATTGTAACCTCTAGAGAGACCATAAGCTAAAAACGTGATTTCTGGTACAATCAGGGCCCATCATTAAGGAAGTTACAGTCCTATATGCGTGAAGGACAGGTACCAAGATCTTTGGGTCATAATCATACATTTCAAGTTTCATCAAAATCAGATCCATGAAGTTACGGTCTGATACATGTCAATATCGAAAGGAACCAAGATCTTTGGGAGATAAACCTATATTTCAAGTTCCATTAAAATCAGATAAAAATTCAATCTGATTAAAACACAGATCCTATTTCGTTTCGTCTTTATAGTTCAAAATTTCGTTTTACTTGTCTTTACTACACTAGGATCTGGAAGAGTTGTTATCATTGATGTGTGTTCTGAATGGTGTGAGGTCTGTTACGGCGAGCTTTAGACGTGTTTTGCACGGAACTGTGGGTAACCCACTAGTAACATCAATGCTGATTGGTTAATCAAATGTCTGACGTCATAGGGTCAAAAGCCGCTCGTATGACCTCTAGACGCGACAACCGGTCAGATCTTCATGTAGTGTAGGCCATCGAAAGTATAAAAAAAACGAATTTTAATCAGATTGGATAAAAACTGTAACCTGTAGAGTGTCCACAAACAAATCATAGATGGACTTCCGGGGGCAACGGCAATATATGTCCACATGAAAATGTGGGCGTATAAAAATTATCCTACGAAATGTCATATTTTGTCTGTTTTGTATAAAACCACACTGGTGAGTTGCCGGCAGGGTATAAAAAAAAGTACACGGGTATTGATCATGATCTTGGGAAAGTACACCCATTAGGCATCAAAATTATCAAAAAATGAAAATCGCCTATAGAGGGCTTTTTCCATGGTGAGCCAATAACTATTTTCTTAAATATTTACAAGGCTAGTACATGAAACACGCTCGTTATTTTTGTCGCATTTGAGAGACATGAGGTTTTCAGAGCAAAACATGTTAAATGATAATTTTTTTGTCATTTATACGACCATTTCTTTCAACAATTCTGACGTCATTCGCTTATTTAATTTCGTAAACATTTTTATTATCAAATATAACGAGAGCAATAAACAATTATTTTTGTACATGCTAGTATTTTCACTGCGTACTTAGAGTGCTTCGTGTCTCGTTTAAAATTTGTAGAACCTCAACCTGGTCTGTCGTAGTGTCTTAAAGTTCCTGTGAACAGACTCGAGGACTGTTGACTCCATTGGCCAAGTCCCCGATCTCAAGATGTGGTTCTGATGTTTGTCTCTCTAAAAACTGGTCGATATGGTAAAATGTAGCATGAACTTTTGCTCGTTACTGGAATTCCTAGCTCATTATATGAACTTTCGAAAGACTTTATCACTTGTTTGGAACCATCATCCAACTTGTGGCCGAAACAAGTCTGCCGGACGTTGTTAAAGTCCCTCAGTGCCTGGAGCATTTTCTGATCTTCAACAACAACAAAACCACTTCATTCTGGTGATGGAACTGCATCTCCTTCTCGGCATTGTCAACCGTCGGTAGTATCACCTAGATGCAATGCAGTATTCTCTTGATAACAACGTCCAGCGCACTTGTTTCGGCAACAAGTTGGATGGTGGTTACAAACAAGCAGTAAAGTCTTTCGGAAGTTCATATAATTAGTTAGGAATTCCAGTGACGAAGAAAAGTTCATGCTATGTTTGACCATATCGACCAGTTTCTGGAGAGACGAATGCATGAACCAAACCTTGATACCAGACTGTATGGCGTATGCCCGTCTTAATTAGCACAGTTGGAGCAGAACAGTAGGACGTTAAACCCCATTTCATTTCATTCATTCCGATTGCGACAAAAATATTGAGAGTGTTTCCTGTGTTAGCCCTGAAAAATTAAAAAAATAGTTTTTGCCTCACCATGGAAAAAGCCCTCTATAGGCGATTTTCATTTTTTTATATTTTTGATGCCTAATGGCATTTTTATACCCTGCCGGCAACTCACCGAGGATGTCACCAGTAACGTTTTAATCCTGAATAATGATACTAGTATCATCCAGGGTTTAATTGACCTGCTCATAAGTCCAACCTTTGACGATGGGTTGTATGTTCAATCTAGTTGGGGGTGTAAGATCGAACATACTATAACTGAACAACTCACTTCTTCTTGGTATATTTCTCTATTCTTTTAACAATACTTAATGACCCACAGGCTAGGTAACTTAATAAGGAACAGTGACTACAGTAGGTATTTTAGAGCTATGGTCGGCAACTTTTTTGGGGTGGGGGGGCAAAACATTTTTTAGGGTGGGCATAACTTGGAATAGTTTCGGGATAGTGTTACTGTCCTATTGAGGCCCATGTTACAAAATGTAAAAACTTCCATAAGCTGAGATTAGGGGAACAGTGTAACACTAGTGTTGGATTTACTTAATTTTTGTATTTAAAGTCTCGATTATCCATTTAATCGTTTAATGCGAAGGAAAGTTATGCAGTAAATCGGCTTACAATCCACTAAAGATCGCAGGCTAGCGCAGCCATCTAGAGTTGATTATGGCCTGTTAATTAATGTCTAATTAATAATTTAGATAACATTTCAGGCTTAAAGAAAGACCTGAAATAGGCAGATTTAGCTCTTGCATAATGCATGTTTAAGTGAGTTGAAGTTAACTTTTAAGTTAAACAAATAAGTATTTAAGTGAATTTTCTTATCATAATCATTATTATATGACAATTGTATAGAAATAAAATAAATTTAATGAAAATGACCACAGGTTTCAATTTCAAAATTCAATATATCCTCTAAAGTGTAATCTTTATGTTAACCTAATCATTTGACTATACAAACTTTTTTAACTTTCACATATAATAATAACATTAACTTTTTGTTCTGACCAAACCCTACTTCAAGGTTCTCTTCAGGTATATGTCAGCACTAAAATATTGTTTTTTTGAGGTATCTTAATTACCGGTACCAATGTGCAAAAACACAGGAACTTATTTAAATCACCCAACCTTTATGTTAACTTGATCATTTGATTATGCGAACTCTTTTAACTTTCACAAATAATAACACAAACTCTTTGTTCTGACCAAACACAACTTCAAGGTTCTCTTCAGGTAAATGTCAATAAAATATTGTTGTTTCTTTTAGGTATCTTATTTATGGGTACCAATGTACATATACACAGGAACTTATTTAAAGATACATTATGGGAGATTAGATAAAGAGCTGGCAGTTCTCATTGAATTTTCGGCCTAGCCTCGATCATCAACACTAAAGGCGGAATGATAAAAACATAGCCTTGATTATCCAATTCTTGATTTAATCATGAATGAAAGTTGAGCACCAAATCGGGTCCTAATCCAGTAAATATCGCATGGTAGCGATGACATCGAGAGTTGATTATGGTCTGGATAAGTTAATTAATGTCTAATTAATAATTTAGATAACATTTCAGGCCTAAAGAAAGACCTGCAATAGGCAGATTTGGCTCTTGCCTAATGTATGTTTAAATCACACAATCTTTATGTTAACCTGATCATTTGATTATGCGAACTCTTTTAACTTTCACAAACAATAACACTAACTTTTTGTTCTGACCAAACCCAACTTCAAGGTTCTTTTCAGGGAAATGTCAATAAAATATTAATTGTTTTTTTTTTAGCTATCTTAATTACCTGTACCAATGTACATATACACAGAAACTTATTTTATGATATAACAGGGAGGGTACAGGAATTTTGAAAATGGGTGTGCAAAGTAACTTCATGCAGAGCGAATTGATGCAAGTAAATCTATTTGGGTTTTTTTTTACCTTTTCTTATGATTTTTTTTAGAACAAAACCGTGGCAATTGGACCAAAAAGTCGCACAGTTTGTAACATTTCGTTCCATATGTTTGCACAATATTGTCCTTAGCACAATTTTTAGCAAGTTAATTGCATATTTTATGTGTCCCAACACGTGGAGCAAATGATGTATATAAAAGCAAAATTAAAATTCTGTACAGCTTGGCATGTTGCTTTTTATGTATGACCTACCAGCTGAGCAGAGCAAATAAAAATAAAATTGGGAGAAAAAAAAAACACGGCAGTTTGTGAAATTCTTATTTCCACTTCATATGTTAGTGCAATATTGTCTGTAGCGTAGTTTTGATTTCTTCTCAGGGGGTTTGGTGGTCTAGTGGATTAATGCATGCGTTTGAAATCACAAGGTCTGTCATTTAGTCAAGTGGCGTTGTTTCGATTCCCCACTTTTGTACATGACAGGGAGCCTGTCCAACCTCATGGGTTTTCTTCGGGTCCTCTGGGTTTCCTCCCACAGATAAAGACCGCTATGCGCAAGTGAATTATTGAAATAAAAATGAACTGTGTGTTAGTCCCCAAATGACCCAGTTTGTGTTGAGTGGATGTAAAAGTCCATTTGTCTCTCTCTCTTTTGATTTCTTACCGATATGTGGAAACACCTATCATTTCCGTCAAAGAGATATCAGAAAAGAATGAACCCGGACCAGAGCGAACCTAGCCAAATAAATTTATTCATAACATGGATTTACTGCTTCACCCCAATTAAATTCTATTGGTTTTAAGCTATAAGAATGAAAGATTAGGAAGTCATGTTAAAAGGAATTGATTGTTGTTATTGTATCTTAATATCGTTTAGTGTTGATTGTATTATTGGTTTTACTAATGAATGTACTATATGGTTGTATTCATCATTGATCACTGCTTGATAAAGATACCTGTAAGAGTATTGAAAAGTTGCATGTAAAAAAATAAGAAGTAGTAAATCCCTAAAGTTGTCTTATTATGAATGGTATACCTCTAATTCTAAATGTCATTCAAGAATATTTTAATATAATAATTTTAATCTTCCAAATGATCGGCCCACACCCCGAGCATTTATGAGTTGAACTTAGAATCCTCCAAACCTGAAATGAAAACCAAACCCTACTGTTCTGACAGTCCAGAACATTGGGCAATAGTGTAGTATACATGTACTCTAACAAGGATAAATAAATAGGGATATATTGCAAGTTTATAGAGAATTGACGAAAAAATTGATGAGAATAATATCGTAAACGGTGTTAATCTGAGAAATAAAGCCATATTTAAAAAAAAAAAAAGAATTGTGTCACTCGCTCCCCCTCTGTATCAGCCCCTGCATAATTTAATGCCGTAATCAATCAGATAGCAGACACCGTTTTATTTTCATTCATTCCAGATGCAGACAGGGAGTTACAGTGGCTAAGTGGGTAAGATGCTGGCTCACTAGCCTGGAGGTCGGGTGTTTGATCCCTGCATTGGCCGAGAAAGTTCATCAAGACTTCCCGGCATGGTTTCCCCTTGTCAGTGATGCAGGACGGAGGGCCTGACAATGAATGAATGGAATGGAGTTTAACGTCCTACTGTTCTGCTCCTAACCTGGGCTAATGGGCTAATGAGGGAAATTTTGCCCGGACGGCGGCACTACGGCCTACTCTTATATCGAATTCCAACTGCCAAGGGATCTTTTACGTGCACGCCAATGTGTACACGGGATCTCGGTTTTTCATCCCATCCAAACAACTAGACAGCTGTCCTTGTCAGCCCCCTCCGTCCACGTTGCACGTTGGCGTGCACGTTGCACGTAAAAGATCCCTAGACAGTTGGAATTCAATATAAGAGTAGACCGTAGTGCTGCTGTCTGGGCAAAATTTCCCTCATAGCGCACTATGTGGCGTATGCACGTCTTCATTAGCCCAGTTCGGAGCAGAACCCATTTCCATTTCATTTCATTTCAGATGCAGACAATAAAGCCATTAATGCCTATTTAGTGGCTACCTTTGAGAACCATCATAATGAAATTTGAGTAGGCTAGGCCTAAAAACATTTTCAGCCAAGGTAGCCTAATTATCATAATATTTTGATTAGGTTTCTACAGATTTATTTTCATAACAATATCTAATGCCTATTATAGTATACATGTAGGCTACTATATATGTAGTCCAATATTTTTATATTTTTTTTATCATTTGATCCCAATCAATTCTTAACCTGATCCTGATGGTGGTCCCAAATCAGACATGTATGGTCCCAATCACGACGCATTCAAGAAGAATACAATGCAGGTGCACGCCATTTACATCATTTTAAGAAATGAATATTCTGAGAGAGTGTCGGCTATGACAAAAATTTATAAGAAGTTCAAATCACTGAATCAACCAGTGTGACGAGACAAGTCCACGTGATTTACAAGTGGTTTGCAGACGACGCAAGTACCACAATAAAATTTTGCTTGACAATGACATTAATGTAAGCATAAACCGTTTGTCTTCTTGCTCGTGCTTTGTCTAACGCGCTATGGCGACTAATTACCACAACAAGTAATTACGTCCTCGTCCTGCTGAGCCAGCGATACTATTCTACAGTCAGTATAACATGTTATAACACAAGATAATACACAAAACTTGCCTTCAGAACACGAGGTTATCAGCGTCTTCAGGTTGAAATGCTTGGCGCTTAATAAGTACAATGTCAGGAAAAAGTATTAGGATAATATGCAATCATTACACGCTCTCTGACGGTTCCTGCAAATGATCCCAGGGAATATCTAAAAATAACGCTAAATGAAGTGTGGATATTTTATTGCGCTAATTAATTATTCAAAATTAATTGGAATAGGGGTGCGCATGCTTCTGTGTGAGTAAATTGAACTCTGGGATAGAAAATGGCTACTTGTCAAACAGGTGCCCGGTGAGTAAAATAATTATGATTTTGAGATTTCTTGTATATATTGTCATAGAATTTTAGTACTGTTTTGCTTAGATGTTGCAACATGGAGCGAGAGCAAAAAAAGCGCATTTTCGTGGACACAAACTGGTCAAAAGCACATTTATACTTATTTGTTTTGCTAAGGCGTGTGATTTTTTTTACCGGAAGTTGCATGTGCAGACGAATTTTGTTGACATTGTACTACAATGGTGCCTGTATAAAACTAATGTTAATAAAATATATTTGTATCGATATCAAAACAAAGTATTGTCACAAGTGACAGAATGAGTATTTTGATAGTTTATAGTTTATGTCCAAAGGAGCTCCAAATTTAAAGGAGCTAAGTCTCTAACTCAATATTATCCAAAATCTTCAACATTGAAAACACGATTTATTTGTCAAATTAAATCAACATTCATGTTGTGATCTTACCGGAAAAAGATGGGCTTTTGATATCCAATATTTAAGACAAAATAAACATTTTACCATTGGTACACGAATTGTGTACCATAATGCGCTTCAGCCCCAGATGTATCAAGAGACTCGAGGGACGAGGCTAGACACATTGCACCAAATCAAACGGCGTATGTAGACTGGAATAATCAGACGCTAGAAATTTGCACTCGCTTGAGACTACTGGCTTATTTCGCCAAACATAACTGATTTGAAATTGGAGTAAAAATGGAAACCATTGAATGTAAATTAGTTTATATACATTCATATTACAGTATTATATGTGTTGCGACCCACTTTTGTCAATTTCTAGGTCCCAAATGTTAGCGATTTAGCTCCTTTAATTAGTAACCAGACAACATGAAATTGGCACTGAATGAGAAATGACAAGAAATTTCTCCATTATTTCTCCATTTATTAGGGTGCCCCATCCAGTCAACATTAGCTCTATTAAAGGAGCTAAATCCCTTTTCTTTGCAGGGCTGCCGACAACCATTATCGCAGCGCAATTTGCGATACATAGTTTGTCCGTTGCTAATCTAAAATTGAAATCTAACTGCGAATCATTAATATGCCTGTCGTTTTAGATATTGACACAAGGATTTATCCACATTATGAAGACTAGAAGACTTTCTCAACACTTTATATGTGTATAAAATGTCAAATAAAATTTTATGAACAAAACTAAATTCTCTCTGTGTGACATTTTCTTCTTAAACTACCCAGACACAATTCATTATACTATATAATACAGGACATAACTCTATGAATAGGGACTATTAAACCAGAAATAGGGAATCAAGTAGTACCACGCATGTTGTGAGACATGTCAATTTCGAGTAATTATTTCAGTATTCAATTTGAAAAAAAATAAATCCAGTGTATCCCCCATCTATTGTAAATAAAATATAAAAAAATAAATAAATGTAAATGTATTGTAAAATGAAAAATCAAAGTAAGAATTCCCGTAAAATATTATTGTTTATATTGCATGTGTCTAGTTAATCAAATTTATTCGTAAATTTCCCATGTGTCGGATTGAGCCAAAATAGTAACACACGGTAAAAAGCAGACGAAATTGTTATCTAATGAAGATTTCCAACGTAACGAAGAAATAACAATTAAAATGATTGGGGCTTCGGAAGCCACTGCCAAGAATTGGCTTCAGACATAACACCTAACCAAAAGTCTACATTACATTCACAAGCTGTCACAGCTACCTGATGCAGTGCTAAAAAATCTAAGAATGAGAAATCTAATCATTTGTTATGAATTAAAGTAATATCTTAGGTTATGTTATTTAGGTGTTTTATGTTGAAACATAAAACTGCTAATCAATTTTTAAATTTGCTAATCTAATTAGGCAAAATTTGACTTTTTGATTAGCAGTGCTGCTAACCAACTGAAAAATTACCGACAGCCCTGGTTCTTTGGAACCTAGAAATGGACACAAATGGATTGCAATGCATATAATAATGTAATATGAGTGTATATAAACGGATTTACATTCAGTCGTTTCTGTTTTTACTGTAATTTCCCGTCAGTTATGTTCAGCAAAATAAGTGAAGAGCCCAAATCGAATGGCAGTCTTTGGATCTGGTTATTCCAGTCTACACCGGTAGTATTCTCCTCTAGGGTATGTTTAGCCTCGTTCATCGAGTTGCTTCATTACAAATGGCACTCAAAATCATTCTAGCACGCATTTCATGTGCCAATTTTTTGATGGATGATTTAATGCCAAAATGGATAATCGAGACTTTGTTTTTTATCGTAGCGACTTTAGTAATGATGATCGAGGCTAGGCCTAAAATTCAATGGTTAATATCTTGATTCAGAGTGGAGGAATTTGACTGAAATTTTCAGCATATTATATTTTCGTTATCTATTTTTTATACGCCCACATTGTAATGTGGTTTTATATTGTCGTTGCCCCCGTCCATCTGTCCGTCCATCCAGCGTCCACACTTCAAAAAATCTTGTGGACGCTCTAAACGTCAAAGTTACTAACCGATTGACTTTAAATTTATACACCGTGTTTAACGTCATGAGACAAAGAAGTCTATTCATTTTCAGTGATTTTCTATAATTACTGTCAGAGTTATGGCCCTTGATCACTTCAAAAATCTTGTAAATTCGCTAGAGGCTCAAGTTAATATCTGATTGACTTTAAAGTTATACATAGTGTTTGAGGTCATGAGACGAAGAATCATTTGATTTTCAACGATTTCCGATAATTACGGCCAAAGTTATGACCCTTGATGACTTGTGATCTTGTGACACTCTAGAAGCTAAAGTTATCATCCAATTGACTTCAGATTGATACACAGAGTTTCAGGCATCGATATTTCCGCGCGCGTGCGCAGGCACAATCATTTCAAAAAAATTTTTGCAGGCACATTTTTAAAGCTCGAAATTTACCACGGCAAAAACGGCAAAGCCATGGTAAAAGCCAAAGTACGTACGTAAACCATGTCACGGCATAATTTATTTTTGTGTGCCGTAGTAGACCCCATCATCCCAAATTAGTTTAAAGAAAGATGTATTGGTATTTTGTTTATTTAGACTTAGAAGATGTGTAGGCCTTGGTCTATTCATTTTACAATTATTCTACGGTCTTTATATTTGTTTATTTGCCGTAAATAGGTCACCCAGACCAATTTACGGCACTCCAATGTTAAAGGTTTGAATGTCGTAATTGTCCAACACGTGCCTGCAAATGTTCACGACGTTTCTTATTTTATTTCTTACTCGTGTTGACCGTGGATTTGCTACGGCCCGAGAGTAGGACTAGGAGGACGATGAGAGCTTTCTCAGTTTCTTCCTGACCTGATTCTCATTCCACCGTAATAATAATATTCGTGAGACACGTACAACAACTTTACAAACAAGTCAAATAATACAACATGTTTTAATTATCAATATCTACCTGTTGTCATAGTTCGTTGTACTCAAATAATAGTAATAAAGTAATATTTGAAAAAAAAACCCAACAAAACAACAAATACCGAAAGGTCCTCAACTTATCTATCCAGAGAAACAGAGTGGGGCGGGACAATTTTATGCTCGGTCGGGTGGTGTCAGAAAGTTTTTAGATCCCTGTATCATTGATGAAAATTAAATGAATTTGGTAAAATTTGAATATATAAATGGAAATTTGATTTGCACTGAACCAAATACAAAAGGCAGCAGATGCTCTGAAAATACACAAAGAAGGGTTTAATTTTCATAAAAGACCACGCCCCCCTCCCAAAATTTTTTGGGGCACGCTCCGCTCGCCACATATATTTTTACACCACTCACCAAATCATGGCTACATCCCTGTGTTTCAGTATGACCCTGCAGGAACATTTTCAAGTGTGTGCGCAGGCACACTCAACTTTTATACAGCCCTGCAGAGTTTAAGGTCTTGAGATGAACAAGAATATTGATTTTCAATTGATTTTTATGACTTGAACAGCTAAATCCATGATGTTAAAAGTTTCATATACTAAACGTTAGCATGGGGCAGAACTTTATAAAAACCAAACAAATTCTAATGATTTTCTGAGAATTACTTAATGAGTTGTTACTCTTGATCAGATTTTAATGTATAATAAATGTTTCATTACCGAAAAAAGTAAAAATATGTGACAACTCTTGTTGACTGCCCGGACGATTTAGCTGCTGTGGGCGTATGTTTCAGTGCCTGGCAACCTATCTTTAACTATTATAGCGAGAACTGTCTGTCCACTCTTTAACTAATCTCCCATAATGAACCTTTAATTTGCTTTATTATTAACTATATTGTTAGGAGTGGCATCTTTTGATTTAGTACAATAAATATCTCTGAAGCTCCATGGTTAGACAAGAATAGAATACTAGTAGTATTTTCCTTACCATTTTATAAGGTTATCACAACAATTGTTGAGTTGCCTAACTTCGGACTTCCTAAATTAGATGTATTGATGTAGCTTTCTGTTATGTTTCGTAGAAAATTGTCTTGATTATCCCGACCTGTCAATTAGCTGGAGAACGGTCAGTAGACTGGTTAAGCAGGACTAATTTCAAACCAAGGGCATGTAACCTATTTTGCACTCAAAAATGCCTGAATGTAATGGCCGCTTGTCGTTTATCTTTTCAATGTATTTTTTTATTAATGTTTAAATGGTTATAAATTGTTAAATACAACAGGACCATTTATTTAGTGACTATAAATGTGAGAAACTAAATTAAGGCTTGTTATGTATATTCATATTGTGGTATAATTGTCAAAGTATTTGCAGATATTTCTTTATGCTTGAGCACCCTACATTTATGACAAAACTATTTGATTGTTTCATTGATCCAATGTAATAAGTACTGGACTGAGCTGAAACTTTATGTTTCTTTATCAGTGGCGACCCTGGGGCCCCCTCCCTCTATGAAATTTCCTTTGAGAAACATTTGAAAGAAACTGAAATGAAAACTCCAGTATGTTTACAGAATTATTATTGGCCTAATCATAATATTACATGTATTTGATATTTTCCTGTACATTGTACATAAATAAA